CCCCCCAGAGTCGCCTCCCAGCTGCTCCTGGGTCCTAGCGATCAACCGAGCGACCTGCAGCTCCCTGCGCCAGACCCTGGGCACAGTTGGGACCATCTTGCAGAAAAGCCACAGGATCAATGGGAGGACAGACAGGAGACTTCGAGATCCGGGGGGGTGGGTGACAAGGGGTGTTTCTATGGAGACTGGGGATTGTTCCAGTGAGTCCCCAATATCATCAGGGACACAGAGGTGATGGGGTGCAGGGCCGGGGAAACTGTGTGTGATTTGCTCTGTTAACAGACTGGCACAGGGGGCAGTTGGTTGGAGCTGGTCTCTTGTCTCCACACCAGGCTCACTGGCTACCAGCCCTGGGCCAGAGCTACCAGTTCCGCTCCCCTCACTCGGGTCATGGAGCTGTCAGTGCGATGCCATCCGGTTCCTCTGGTTACCTGTTGTCATAACCATAGCAGTAGCCTAAATTCCTCCTTACCTATAAGGGGTTAAGAAGCTCAAGTAACCTGGTTGGCACCTGATCAAAGGAACCAATGGGGACAAAAGATACTTTCAAATCCGGGCGGGGGGAGAGAGGCTTTGTTTTGGGTTCTTTGTTTCTGTGGCTGTTTGCTCTTGGGACTTAGGGCATGGCTACACTGAGAACTCCAAAGCTCCCGCCGCAGCGCTTTGAAGTGCGAGTCTGGTCCTGGCGCTCTCTCCCAGCGCTGCAGGTACTCCACCTCCACGAGGGGCCTAGCTACCAGCCCTGGTGCACTGTCTACACTGGCGCTTTACAGTGCTGCAACTTGCTGCACTCAGGGGGGTGTTTTTTCACACCCGTGAGTGAGACAGTTGCAGTGCTGTAAAGCACCAGTGTAGCCATAGCCTAAGAAGGACTGGAAATCAATCCATGTTCTCCAAATCTTTCTGAACAAGTCTCTCATATTTCAAACTTGTAAGTAACAGCCAGGCAAGGCATATTCGTTTATCTTTAAAAAGTAACAGAGGGTCCTGTGGCACCTTTAAGACTAACAGAATTATTTATCTTTGTTTTCTCAACTTGTGAACTTTACTTTTGCTAGAGGGAAGTTTTCCCTTGTTTTGTTGTAACTTTGAAACTAAGGCTAGAGGGGGTTCCTCTGGGCTCTTTGAATCTGATTACCCTGAAAGTTATTTTTCATCCTGCTTTTACAGAGATGATTTTTTACATTTTCTTTTTAATAAAATCCTTCTTTTAAAAACCTGACTGATTTTTTCCATTGTCCAAAGACCCAGGGATTTGAGTCTTTGATCACTTTGAAACCAACTGGTTAGGATATTATTCTCAAGCCTCCCCAGGAAAGGGGGTGTAAGAACTTGGGGGGATATTTTGGGGGGAAGAGGAACTCCAAGTGGTCCTTTCCCTGTTTCTTGTTAAATCACTTGGTGGTGGCAGCAATCCCAAGGCAAAAAAGAAATCTGTACCTTGGGGAAGTTTTAACCTAAGCTGGTAAGAATAAGCTCAGGGGGGTCTTTCATGCGGGTCCCCACATCTGTACCCCAGAGTTCAGACTGGGGAAGGAACCCTGACACCTGTGGTCCGGATTAACCCATCCCTGGGCTCTAGGCAAAACCCTTCATGTCTGCCCACTTCCAAGAGATCCCCTCTGTCCCTCTCCCACCTGGCTGCCCCAGATGAGCACTGACTGCATCTCCCTGTCGCACACCTGGATGTGGGCAGCAAAGCTCCAGCTAGTCCCTGGTTCAGGGACTGGTGCTCTGCCCACTCAGGTTTGGCCCCATTGATGCCCCCCTCCCCATCATAATGTGGGAGGGGCACTGGGGGCCAAAATTGAGTGAATGGCACTGTGACGTGGTGCATGGGATTATAGCCTCCTTCACTCAACTTCAGCCTTGACACCGACCAGCTCTCAACACCACTCAGTCAATTTTGGCCATGTTTCTCCTGCCCCCAGCCTGAAATGGGGGTGAGCCTAAGCCAAAGCTGAGTGGGTAGCCAACACAGCTCCTTCTTACCCCTGTTGTGGGGCAGACTCCTAAGCATCCGTCCCCATCCCCCAGGCTCATTCCTAGGTTGCCTATGCCTTAATCTAGCCTGGACTTCCCTTGATCCCGATTCCCTCCAAGGTTGGGGACCGGGAAGGCAGGGAGGTGTGGGGGGAGTTAATTCAGTAGCTGTTCTATCTAGAGGGGTCTGGTCCCTGCTTGGACAGAGGAGACTGCACTCCATCTGTCTCTGTTTTTCATCCTGGGTCAGGAACTGCTGCCTCCACCACTGGGATCTGGGAGCCTGAATGGAGCAGCTGCTGAGCCCGGAGCAGGGTCTGTGCTGGGAATAGACTTTCATCAAAGCCCACTCTGTAGGGTGACCAGATAGCAAGTGTGAAAAATCAGGATGGGGTGGGGTGGGGTGGGGGTAATTGGCGCCTATATAAAGCAAAACCCCAACTACTGGGACTGTTGCACTCACTATAAAATCAGGACATCTGGTCACCCTACCCCTCTGTGCACAGCACAAGTTTAGACCTTCACTGGGCCAGAGCCAAGAGATCGACTCTGCAGTCCGGGGTTTGGGCACCCACCTGGGAGGGCCCAGTCCCGTTTCCCAAGGACTCTGTAATGACTGCTCCAAAGTCTCACAGGTTCCACAGGAGAAATTGAGGGACCACCCTCCCATCAGAAGATGCCATGGTCCGGTGGCAGGAGCACTGTCCTGGGAGCTGTGGGAACCTCCTCTTCAAATCCTTTCTCCCCATCAGGCAGAGGGGTGAATTGAACCTGGGTTTCCCACATCAGTGTGACAGACCCATCTCATGGACTGAGTTGAAGGGTGGAATCACCCCATGCTCCCCTCTTCTGGCTGCTTTGTGGGCAGCTGGGTGCCTGCCTCATTCTTTCTCACAAGAGCTTCAACACCCTGACGGCAGGACAGGGGTTCCCAGCTGTGGATTCACAATCAGAGAGAGGCACCTCAATCTGGAAGGGCTGATATCCAGGAGAGTATGGGGAATTAGGACATGTCCCTCCCCTCAGTATCTCCTCTTGGTTACTTTCTGCAGCTCCCTGCCTGTGCCTACTATGCTGGGTTTTGTGAATCCCATTCTTAGGTGCCTGTCTGGCCACATGCATTGGACTATAAGGTGGATAGAAAACTGGCTATATCATCGGGCTCAATGGGTAGTGATCAACGGCTCCATGTCTAGTTGGCAGCCAGTATCAAGCGGAGTGCCCCAAGGGTTGGTCCTGGGGCTGGTTTTGTTCAATATCTTCATTAATAATCTGGAGGATGGGGTGGATTGCACCCTCAGCAAGTTTGCAGATGACACTGAACTGGGAGGAGCGGTAGATATGTTGGAGGATAGGGATAGGATACAGACAGACTTAGACAAATTAGAGGATTGGGCCAAAAGAAATCTGATGAGGTTCAACAAGGAGAAGTGCAGAGTCCTGCACTTAGGACGGAAGAATCCCACGCACTGCTACAGACTAGGGACCGAATGGCTAGGCAGCAGTTCTGCAGAAAAAGACCTAGGGATTACAGTGGACGAGAAGCTGGATATGAGTCAACAGTGTGTCCTTGTTGCCAAGAAGGCTAACGGCATTTTGGGCTGTATAAGTAGGGGCATTGCCAGCAGATCGAGAGACGTGATCATTCCCCTTTATTCGACATTGGTGAGGCCTCATCTGGAGTACTGTGTCCAGTTTTGGGCCCCACACTACAAGAAGGATGTGGAAAAATTGAAAAGAGTCCAGTGGAGGAGAACAAAAATGATCAGGGGACTGGAGCACATGACTTATGAGGAGAGGTTGAGGGAACTGGGATTGTTTAGTCTGCAGAAGAGAAGTATGAGAGGGGATTTGATAGCTGCTTTCAACTACCTGAAAGGGGGTTCCAAAGAGGATGGATCTAGACTGTTCTCAGTGGTCGCAGATGACAGAACAAGGAGTAATGGTCTCAAGTTGCAGTGGGGGAGGTTTAGGTTGGATATTAGGAAAAACTTTTTCACTGGGAGGGTGGTGAAGCACTGGAATGGGTTACCTAGGGAGGTGGTGGAATCTCCTTTCTTAGAGGTTTTCAAGGTCAGGCTTGATAAGCCCTGGCTGGGATGATTTAGTTGGGGATTGGTCCTGCTTTGAGCAGGGGGTTGGACTATATGACTTCCTGAGGTCCCTTCCAACCCTGATATGCTATGGTTCTGATTGTATAGGGAGCCTAGGTGATCAACTCAGGCTTTGTGAATCCTACTGTTCTTCCAGTGATTTTCTAGACATCTCAAATTTGGCCTTTGCATCACTAAAGTCCATTTGCTGAGCCAGGCCTTAGTGGCTACCATCAGCTGGCTCTTTATGCTACAAACATGTGCAGAACTGGTTGAAGCAGATGCGTCCACCCACGGGTCACCCATTTCCCCTTATAATTTTCCAATTTTCACCCAAATCATCCGCCATTTCTACATGGCTGCCTAAGACATTCCCTGAAATTTTTGAATTGATTAGATGCAGCAATCTGCATCGCTTCCTGTGGTGGGGCAGCTGCTCCACACAGACAGAAGAAGGGTTAAAGCAGCCTTGGAGAGGCTATGCAGAACCCAGCCAATGAGGAAAGGGCTTATTGGGAGAGCCAATCAAGGGAAGGCTTGTTGCAGCAGCCAATCAGAGCCAGTGAGGACTAGATATAAGGGGCTGCTCAGGAGCACAGAAGTCAGTCTCTCTCTCTCTCTGATGAGGAAGAAGGATTAGCTACCCAAGGGTGTGCCTACACTGGCAAGTTTCTATGCAACAAGTTGTGCTACTTTTATTAAAGCGTTGGCGTTAAACTGCTGTTGTATGTCCCCACTGTGCTCCTTGTGATGTTGGGGAGTGGATATGAGGGGTTTTGTTTAGAGCACAGAGGTGGGTTATCTGGACCATAGTAACCAGAGGAACCAAGTGGCAAAGCTCTGACAGCTCCATGACCTGAGTGAGGGGAGCAGAGCTGGGAGCTCTGGCCCAGGTCTAGTAGCCCATGAGTGTGGTGTGGAGACAAGAGATCAGCTCCAACCAACTGCTCCCTGTGCCAGTCTGTTACCAGAACAAATCTCACACAGTGTGTCCCTGGCTCCCCGTCACTCCTGGATCCTCTGGAACAACCCTGAGTCTCCATAGAAACCCTGCTTTTCCCCCCCTCCCCGGGATCTGCAGATCTCCTTTCTGTCCCCATTTATCCTGTGGTTTCTATGCAGGATGTCTACATAGTGCTGGGAGAAGCTGCCTGTACCCAGGGGAGATGGGGCCCCCAGGAGGCACTCCATCACCTATGTGTCCCTGATATTGGGAACTCTCTGGAACAATCCCCAGTCTCCATAGAAGACCCCCTTGTCCCCCACTCCCCAGGATGATGGAAGTCTCCTGTCTGTCCTCCCATTGATCCTGTGGCTTTTCTGCACGATGGCCCCAACTGTGCCTGGGGAGGTGGGGCCCCAGGGGTCAGGAGGCTGTAGATTGTTGGGTTTATCGCTAGGACCCAGGAGCAACTGGGAGGCGGCTCTGGGGGGAGTGATCGCAGTTGTGAGGTTTTACCCTTTTTAACAATGAATAAAGTTTTTGTAATGGTACGGCGTTTTTATTCTGTGTTCCGCAAAAGCGTATAGCAATCAATACACTCTCGGGTACAGGCTTCTAAAGCATTGTGTTGCACGGATCTTGAGCCCAACATTGTACATGGATGCAGCAGGGAAGCAACTCCAAAGCAGACGTGTTACTGCCCCTCATTGTCAAAGTGGTTCCTCAAAGCCTCTCTGATGTTAATAGCAGCCCTCTGGGCTACTCTGACAGCCCTAGCATCTGGCTGCTCAAACTGTGCAGCCAAGCGCTCTGCCCCAAAGCTCCACACCTGAGCAAACATTTCACCCTTAGATTCACACAGATTATGCGAAGTGCAGCGTGCGGCTATGACCATGGAATATTATTCTCTGTAAGGTCTAACCTGCTATTGAGACACCTCCACCGCGCTTTCAAACGGCCAAAGGTACATTAGAATACCATGCGGCACCTGCTCAGCCTGCTGTTAAAACGCTCCTTGCTGGTGTCCAGGTGCCCTGTGTAAGGTTTCATGAGCCAGGGCTGTAAGGGGTAAGGCAGGTCTCCCAGGATTACTATGGACATTTCCACATCCCCCACTGTGAATTTATGGTCTGGAAAGGAAGTCCCCTCCACCCTCCCCACAGCTTTCTGTACAGGCCACTGTTCCTGAAGATGTGTGCGTCATGCACCTTTCCAGACCAGCCTGCACTGATGTCCGTGAAACGCCCCCAGTGCTCCACAAGTGCCTGCAACACCATGGAGAAGTATCCCTTCCTATTGATGTATTCAGAGGCAAGGTGATCTGGCGCTAAAATTGGAATGTGTGTGCCATCAATGGCACTGCAACCATTAGGGAAACCCATCTCTGCAAAGCCATCCACTGTATCATGCACTTTTCCCAGAGTCACAGTCCTCCGCAGCAGGTTGCAATTTCTTGCCCTGCACCCTTGGAGTAATACAACCCCAACAGTGGACTTTCCTACTCCAAATTGATTTGCGACTGACCGGTAGCAGTCTGGATTCACCAGCTTCCAAACAGCAATCGCAACACGCTTCTCGACCGGAAGGGCAGCTCTCAATCTGGTGTCCTTGCGCCGCTGGTCGGGGGCCAGCTCAGCACATAGCTCCAGGAAGGCTGCTTTACTCATCCTGAAGTTCTGTACCCATTGATCGTCATCCCACACCTCCATGACAATGCGATCCCACCAATCAGTGCTTGTTTCCCTAGCCCAAAAACAACGTTCTACCGTATGCAGCTGCTCTGTGAACACATAAAGCACTGATAAGTTCTGCTGTCCATATCACACTCGGGTGCCTGAGATTCATCCTCTGCTAACTTTGCGAGCAACTCTGTGAGTAACTGTGCTGCCATGTGCGATGTCCTCACGACAGCTAACAGTGCATAGGAGAGAAGTGTGGGATCCCTCCTCTCTCACTGCAGCTGCTGGCACGTGCTACAACAGAATGACAGTTGGAAAAACGGCGCGAAAAGAAGCCAGAGAACTTTGGAGGGGTGGGACACAAAGCGGTGCATGATGGTACATTTTGTACATCCCAGGATGTGCCGGGCTCCGTTTCCGCATTCCCCCAACCCCTAGTGACGGATGGTGTTGCCAGGCACTGTGGGATACATACCCACAGTCCATTGCTCTCCCTGTCTACAAAGGTGCCCCAAATGTGGACATGATCTGTCGACAGAGAGAGCAAATGTAAACATGTTTGGCGACTTTACTTTTTTTCCCTTGTCGACATTAGTTTCATCGACAAAACTTCCCAGTGTAGACAAGTCCTCTGTGGTGTAACCTGGGCTGTTATATGCTTTCCCTAGGCATCATTCAGCTAAGTGATGTGGATTTAACCCTTCAACATGTTGGGAGTGATACATAAGAACTCATTATGTCAGGGGACGGCCGATCGCGGCCCCCACTGGCCGCGGTTCACCATCCCGGGGCAATGGGGGCAGCAGGAAGCAGCGCGGGCGAGCGATGTGCTGGCCGCGGCTTCTCACCGCCCCCATTGGCTCGAGACGGCGAACCGCGGCCAGTGGGGGCCGCGATCGGCTGAATCTGCTGCTTCAGCAGGTAAATAAAAGTGGCCCGGCTCCCGCAGGCAAGGGGGGGGCAGCACGGTCGGACTCCGGAGGAGCCATTTGGGGGGGCAAGGGACATGGCTGGAGGAGCGAATCAGCCAGGCTCCTCGGCCATCGCGCCTCACGCTCAGCGCAGCCGCCTCCTGCGGCGGCTCAGGGCTCGGCGGCCGAGCGCTCCGCAGCTGGCGGCAGATCCCCTCTCCCCGGCAGCTTCCTGCTTCCCTCGGCCCAGAAGCTGGAAGCTGCCGGGGAGAGGGGATCTGCCCGCCAGCTGCGGAGCGCTCAGCCACTGAGCCCTGAGCCGCCACAGGAGGCGGCCACTGCAGCAATGTTGGGGCCACGTGGGGCGTGATGGCCGAGGAGCCGGCCCCTTCGCTCCTCTGGCCATGCCCGCTGCCCCCCCAATGGCTCCTCCGGAGTCCGACCGTGCTGCCCCCCTTCCCTGCAGGACCCCAGCGGCGGCCCGGTAGGCACTGCTTTTGAAAAATGAACTGAGGGGAAGCGTCTGCTACTGCCCGCAACCCCTTCTGCCTTCCCACAAGTCTTAGTGGCAAAAGAGAAAGAGGTACTCTGTGGAGTAGCTGCCCAGAGTGCACTGCTCCGAATAGCGCCGCAAGTGCCGCAAGTGTGAACACGCTATTGTGCAGGCAGCTGTCAGTGTGAACACACAACAGCGGTTCTCCTTCAGCGCTCTCTGAGTGGCGCTGTAACTGCCGGTGCTGTAACTTTGCAAGTTTAGACGTGTCCTTTGTCTGGCAAAACCGGTTTGTCAACCCTGTCTGGATTCAGACTTTAAAACAGATTCTGGTATATAAATGTAGTTCCTTAAGGATCATCTGCCTGCGCTTCTTGCCATGATCATGAGGAACAGTGTGACATGAGCCTTTGGGGTAGTCTATACTGGCAACGTTAAAGCGCTTTAATGTGCCCTGTGTAGTCATAGCAGAGTGCTGCAAGAGAGCTCTCCCAGTGCTCTAAAAAACCACTTCCACGAGGGGCATAGCTACCAGTGCTGGGAGCCACGCTCCCAGTACTGGTGCATTGTCTACACTGGCACTTTACAATACTGAAATTTGCTGCGCTCAGGGGGGTGTTTTTTCACACCCTGGAATGAGAAAGTTGCAGTGCTGTAAAGTGCCAGTGAAGACAAGCCCTAAATTAGCAGCCTCCCATGATCCATTGTGGATAAATACTATGAAAGCAATGCATGAGTAGTGAGTTTGTCAGACCTGATAGGAGTTGCCTCCTCTGGCCCCGGGCTCTGGCCATGTGGCAGCAGACTCCGGACCTCAGCTGCAGGGCTTTGGGCCCTGGGCTCACTCCCCACCCCGCCACCATCGCTGCTGGCCCCCGCTGCTGCCCTACCCACTTCCCATCCCGGGCTTAATTTGTCCCCCAGCTGCTGGTCTGAGTAAGTCTGCTGTGAAAATTGATATTTGTATGTTTGTTAATCACTTTTTGTTGCCTCCCAGCTCACCAACAAGTCTGCTGCTGTGAAACGTGATATTAACAAACATGCAAACATCACTTTTCACAGAAGCAGACTTACCAGCTAACAAGTCTTTTTTTAAAAACTGTTTCTATTCTGTAAAAAGAACAGGAGTACTTGTGGCACCTTAGAGACTAACAAATTTATTAGAGCATAAGCTTTCGTGGACTACAGCCCACTTCTTCGGAAGTGGGCTGTAGTCCACGAAAG